AATGGTGTTTTCAAGTGTAATATTTTACTAATGGAATAAATGATTATTTGACTTTGACCAACTAGAATGTTATAATTTAAACTTAAGTTAAAATCTGGGTAGTTTCAATAATACAAGCTTTGTTTTGTTGATAGGTATTTCCAGTGCTTGTGTTGCCAGTGCAATCCTGACTTGAGCATTGAATAGAGTTCTAGAATACGACCCTAAATGCCTATAAAATAACTAATGGACTGAAGTCTTGGCGTATGGCGTCTTTTTGAACTTAAAAAAATAATAAAAGAAAATTTACTGAGACCTGGCTGTATGGTTTAGATCTTTTCTTCTACGGAAAGAATGAAAAAAAAAACAACAATCAATACTTTGTTTTCTTCAATGTAGGTATTTGATTTGTGTTGGTCGACGAAGTTTTCAGAAGTTTTGTGAAAAAATGTCTACGTCGTCGTCAAGTGATGAGTTAGATAGTAATTTAATGTTGCCAGAAACTAGTAATACACCGAAAATCATTAATGAAAACCTTCTACCTTCAAAATCAAAGCAAAGATATATCGCCACTTACGACAGCTTCGTGCAGTGGAAAATTAACAAAAAAGCTAATACATTTTCTGAGGATGTTTTTCTGGCGTACTTTGGTGAATTGGCTGAGAAATACAAACCATCATCTTTATGGGCTATCTATTCAATGTTGAAGACCACTCTGATGACGAAACACTGTGTCAATATTAAGAATTACGCTAACTTGATGGCTTTTCTGAGGAAAAAGTCTGATGGATTTATAAGTAAAAAATCCAAGGTTCTGTCTGCGGAACATGTTGAAAAATTCCTAAATGATGCTCCAGACGCTAAATATTTAGCCACTAAGGTTTGTTTGTTTTGTATATATTATAAAAAATGTATACAAATTGTACATATAAAAAAAATACAATTCAAATGTACGAAATTCAAACGTGTCAAGGAACACTTTCTTAACTGATATTTTTCGTCTTTTCTGCACTATCTCCCCATTCATTTCCTGTTTTTTTATTTATTTTCTTCCTTCAAAATTATTTAAGTGTTTGATATTATTATTTATTTTTATATATTAATAATATATATATGTATTTATCAGTATTCCATGTACACATATATTTATTAGCACTTGTTATGTAGCATATGTACAAAGATATTCTTTTTCAATTGGTCCTCCTGTTGCATATTAACTTATTATTTTTATAATCAGGTTACTATTCTACACCACCATGGTAATTATATGTGCAATAAAGATTGTTTCATTCATCATTGATTCAAAATTCATTTTGCTGTTTCGTATGCATCTAAGGTGAGCCCGTATTTTAATTACAGGTTGCACTTATATTTGGAATAACTGGTTCATGCCGGCGTCAAGAACTAGCCGATATAACTGTAAATGATATAGAACAACACAATGAAATGTTGCTTATTAAGATTCCTAAAACAAAGAATAAGATTCCCAGATCATTCACAATACAGGGCAAATTTTACAAAATTGTGAAAAAATATGAATCCCTACGGTCAAAGAAAGGGAATAGTAACCGGTTTTTTCAACATTTCCAAAACGGAAAGTGTACATCCCAACTTATCGGCAAAAATAAATTTGGTAGTATGCCCAAGGAAATTGCAGAATATCTAAATCTCTCAGATGCCAAGTTGTACACTGGACACAGTTATCGCAGAACTGCGACATTGCTTGCTGATTCTGGAGTTGACATTATGGGTTTAAATTGGCATGGAGGTTGTAAATCTAGCAATATTGCTGAAGGATATGTTGAAGCTTCCATAGACAATAAAAGTACTGACATTCAAATTTCAGATTCCATTTTGAGGTCAAGTGAGAATGTAGATTCAATGCCACAACCTTCCACTCCATTTACAAGTGAAGAGTTGTTTTCCCTCCCGTCTAGTAAATCTAGCAATCTTGCTGAAGGATATGTTGAAGCTTCCATAGACAATAAAAATATTGACATTCAATTTTCAGATTCTATGTTGAGGTCAAGTGAGAAAGTAGAGTCAATGTCACGACCTTCCACTCCATATACAGGTGAAGAGTTATTTCCCCTCCCGTCTACATCTTTCCCAAAAGTAGAGATAGACCCGCAGAAAAGCCCACTATCAGAATCGCATCCAACGCCACCTGATACAAATACTTTGCATTCCGCTGAACTTAATGTCAACAATAATTTAACACAAACCATTAAACTTCCAGGAAAGAATGTTACTTTAAATTTAACCAATTGTAACGTCACTTTAAATTTTAGTCATTAATGAAAATTTTGTAAATATAATATGAGAAAATTATAATGTATTTATTTACTCATGGAGTGGGTTTAGACGGAACTGAATGGAACGGTTATTTGCAGGGAGAAAAAAAAACAATGGAGAAAGAAAGAAAAAAGGCCCTATCAGAACTGTTGTTGCCAAATGTCACACTTACATAATGTTAAACACAATCTTAATTATGATTGGTCGTAGTTTCTAATTTAAAAAGATTTAACAATTCTGAACTGTTAATATATTTAAACTTTACCTTGTTAGCATAATGGTTCAATACCTATTTATTACAACTTGCGACGTTTTGCTTTTATGATTGAAATTTCATTCAACGTGCTGTTTTCTAGCGGCAATAGGTAAAAGACAAAACGATTAACGTTCTCAAAAATAATCGCAGTACAGAGTACTAAAAAACCGACCTCAAAAGTTCGGGGAATTACATCTATTTGCCAAGTTTTATTGCAATCCGTTACCGGAAAGTTCTCGAACTACGAATATTTTCTTCAAATTGAAATAGACCTGGGCCCTTACCATGAATTCTTATCGTGATTCAGTTTAGGACCTAAAATGAATCGTTGTGAGACAGCGCCACGTAAATTGTATATCACTATCCCGCTTTTTTGTCGTTACGAACTGTATAGGTTATAGGTGAACTGTAATAAGATTTCATGGTAAGGCCGTACAGGGGTACGAGATATCTTTCCAACAAAAAAAGAATCATTAAAATCGGTTAACAGTTATCGCTTAACATGCATAAAAAAATCTGCAGATTTTATTTTAACAAATGGCGGGTTTTAATAATTACATTTTTTACACGAATTAATTTTTAGTTTCTGTATATTACGTTCTGCGTTTCTCGACTTGTTATCATTAAGCTGATGGCTCTGAAAGCAATGCTTTATAAATAAATAATAATAACATGCATAAATAAAACCAGTCGAATTCGAAAACGTCCTCCTTTTTTTAAAGTCAGTTAAAAATTCGATCATATATTTTATATATTTTACTTTCGTGTCTTATTACAAAACAAAACCATGGATTATATTAATATCACAGGATCATATGAATATCATTTTTGCTCTCCAAAGTAGCAAAGTAAGACTTTCCACGATTTTCAAAGTTTTGCGCGAAATAATTGACACGATCATAGCTTATAAAGCAAAATTGGCGGATTAAGATCAAGTATGCACAACTCCACATTTTGTTGGCATACGCAGCGCGCCCACTATTATAAGCACTTCTATAAAACTGTGTTAATTGTGCTGTGGTTACTTGCACAGGTTGGTTTTAATCACATTTAATGTTGGGTGGTTTCAATACATTTTGTCGGCGACATAAAGTAGTGCAGCAACGATTTTGATGTTTGGTTAGGTAGTATTTTGATTTATCTGGTTGGATTGTAATAAGTGTTTTCTTGTTGTATTTATTATTTTTATAATGGGTGCGACATGTTCAATAATGATCATGACCTAAATAAATAAAGCCTAATACTAAATTTTTTAAACTTCCGCACAAATGTGATGAAAAATAATTCTACACACGGGCGGAACAGCAATTACAAACGTTTCGGCTATTAAAGGACATTTAACTGTCCCTTTGTTCGTAATTGTCTACTTACCGCTTTCGTGACAGCACTATTCCCTGTTTTATATATCTCTCGAGGCGTAAAGCTCATTGCACGTGAAAGCCATTATAGTCCCAAAGCGGGCACAGTCCACTCACAGTAAGTAGTTCCCACAAAGACCCAACGTGGATTGAAAATTTCACCCATCATTATTTTTATTATATTATGTACTTTGCAGATGTGTGCAGGTACGCTCACGATGTTTTCGAAAAGCTCAAGGTAAATTTAAAATTAAATTGCAGATTCAAACTCACACACGCCCTCTGTTTGCGAGGCAGTACGTCAAACCATATTTAGGGAATAGCACCAACATGATCTTAGATTATTGGCTACATAGACCAAATAAAATTGGCTGCCACTGCTATTTTTCCCTTGGCATTATTAAGTTTATTGTTCATGAGCATAATTAAAGAAAATTTAAAGCGTTGAATGTTAAACTTGTCACTATAGAAACGCATAAACAAAAATAAATTAATGTCGTCACTTCACAATAAATCGGTAAGAAAATTGTGTTGTTACTGTTTTTCTTTGGAATCACTCAGTTTACGCTGTCGAAGATGCCCATTTTGGTGAAAGACTACACTTGGATACAATCTCCTAAAGTTATAAGTATAAGGATCCCTATAAGTCCCGTAAATCACGAAAAAGTGGATGTGTTTATCACCGATTGGTACGCGAAGGCTAATTTCAGTCCTTTTCTTTTTGAAATATTCTTACTACACGAAATAGATAGTAAGAAAAGTTCTTGTATTGTCAAGGAAGATTTGATATCGTTGGAGTTATTTAAAAAAGAAGAACAGGAATGGGAGAGTTTAGAAAAGGAATTAACAAAACCAGAAAAAATGAAAATCAAGGAAGAAGTTCTAAAAAAATGTCAAGAAGAGGCAAACAAAGAAGCCGAAGATAAAAGGATACAAAAAACTCAATTGGACAGGCATGCCGTTCAAAGAGCAATGGACGTGGATGCAAGACAACATGAAATAATGGATAAACGTAGAAATGATGAAAGGGACAAAGCTATGACTGCTTTAGAAGAATGGAGATTTAATACTGCTGAAAAGGAATCGTTAAAAGTAATCGAAAATAATATAAATGTACCTCTGAAATTAGAGCCTAGAGATTCGGGTGTCAAGATTGTAGAGCTCGATAGTTCTTCGGATGAAGAAACGAAAAAACCCACAAAGGTGGCTCCTCCAGTTAGAAGACCACCACCGAAGACCATAGTAAAGTCAGAATATGTTGATAAAACGAAGGATAAATTAAATAGAAGAGTACTTCCGAAGCTAAGAAGTACTGCAGAGATTAAAATTACGCATACTCCTAGGACGTTTCCGACGCCCAGTAGAGAGTCAACTGCCGAAGAGGAAGCGGTTTGGTTGAAAAATGTTACTTTGGCGCGTAGGGCTACAGGTAATTCATATATCTTACTTTAAAAGGCGTCTTCGCTAAGAAAATATTCTTTTGACTTTATTATGGCTTCTTAAAATTTTTTAACAAGATACAAATGAACATCGTCATGTTAGCTTATAGGTAGGTACTCTTTATACTTTGTAATGTAGGCTACTGAGTAAATTGACACATGGTCAAATTCGCATGGTTATGGATTTGTTTTAAATAGCAAAAAACAGAGCACAAAATTTTCTTTTAAAACAGCTAAAATTAATTAACGTGCTCGACTTACCGGGACATACCCTAACGATGCATAGCTGAAATATCAATATTCTAAGTTTGGGTTATGATTTTTTTATGATATCTCAAACAATTATTTTGTCACGTAGCCGTGTTTTAGTTAGTGGACGGCAGACATGATACATGACAAAAATGTCTGTGCTACTAGTTTCCTAAATTGTTTGTCTTTATCTTGGTTTTTACTAGATTTTTAATATTTCTCTCTTTAACTGACGTTCGTGTGATTCTTCATGTAGTTTATCTATGGCGCTATGCGAATGAGGACAAATATCACCTACTTGTAGGATTCGTCTTTAGTTCCGCAAACCACCGCTAGATGGCATTGACCCGTTTGACGCAATTTCTGAATCGCGGTGTTAAGATTTTCCCTCGGTGAATGACGTTCGCCCATACATTTGGTGAACTCATACTTACCTGGCACAGGGGATACCGTGATCAAGTAGGCGGTTCCCCCAGGGCGAGGCTTTTCCATTGCACTGCGGTTGAGCTGACCCCTGCGATTATCCCTAATGTGGATAACTCGGGTGCGTAATTTTTGATAGTGGGGACTGCGTACGCGCTGTCCCCTCCATAAATTGATATCATTATTAGTCTACAACTGTTATGGCGACTTGCTAGATGTAGATAATATACTTTGAAACTGATATTACCTTCTCATAGCAGGTTTCGTAAGCGAGGATCTGCGACCTGAAGAACAAGATCCTCAATGGTGCAAGGACAAGGGAGATGAATTTTTTCGCAACGGAAATTTCCTTGGCGCCATCAGTGCTTACACACACGGCATTTCACTATCTGACAAACTACCAAGCTTGTATGCTAACCGCGCCGCTACCCATTTTGCGCTTGGCAATTTTAATAAATGTGTAAGTGAATCTTTTTTGTGTACAGACACTAAGTAAACAGTAGAAAATTATAGCTTTTTTATAAAATAGAACAGACTTCTAAAGTTTGTGGAATTACATCAATTTGCCAAGTTTTATTGAAACCGAAAAGTACACGAAACCGGATTCATCCCCTACTTTACCACCCTAAAGAGGAGAAATATTTTCTTCAAATTGAAATGGGACCAATACTGAGGTATATATACTCTATCCAACAAAAAAATAATCATCAAAATCGGTTCACAAATAATCCGTCGTCAGAGTCACATACATATAAAAAAGTGTAATAGACAACCTCCTTCATTTTGAAGTCGGTTAATAACTTCAGATAACTCTAAACTTGCGTATCGGAGAATTCTACGTTGGATTTCTAAATGTTGATGAAGGCTGCATTGCAGCAATGCAGCCTTCATCAACATTTAGAAGTCAAGATGATTTTCGTTTCGATAATGCACTTTTGTATTTCACAGATGGGGGACTGCTCCACTGCCATAGACCTCATGAAACCAGAATGCGAAGGCAACAGACGCAGTCGAGCTAAGTGTGTAGCTCGCCGCGCCGCCGCTCTCGCGCGTGTCGGAATGTTGAACAAGGCCATAGACGAAATGAAAGCAGCGGCGAAATTGCTGCCCGAAGACGATACGCTCAAGAAGGATATTTATGATATGGAGAGGGCTTGGGAACAGAATCCCGATTCCGATTAATGGATTACTTTCAAGTTTATCACAGTTAGAGTCGATTTCTACAACACTCAAGCTTAGCACTATCTAGAGTCAAATTTGAAGATTTTGAAGCGTCGAAATTATTCGACTGTATGGACATGTGTGGCGCTGCGTGAAATGTTGTAAACAAAAGATTTTAAATGGCTTTGACTTAGTCAGTGACAATTTTTATTTTATGAAATGAAGCCAAATATTATTTGACATATACACAGTATTTTCAGAGCACTAAAGTTATTCATCATGAATTATTTAAAACCTCGCTATGTGTAACAGAAATATTTATAGTAATAGGAATAAAATTAATAGTACATTTATAATTGAATTTCCATTTCATTCTTCTAATATTACTATTTTTTTCGATAATCCAAGATCGTGTATAAGGGCCTGTGGTGAGGGATCTCTACCGCGGAACCTCCTGAAAACCTCACTAGGGTGACAACTGCCGCCATATGCCAAGAACGTGTCTTTATATCTCTTGCCAACAGCAAGAATATCTTCATTTCCCTGTCTAGCCTCTTCAAATGCACTGTAAATGTCGGCCGCGATCATCTTGGACCATAAATGGCAGTAATATGCGGCTCCCCATTCTTCAGAAAAAATTTTAGTGAACGAAAGCGGATGTGAGTCAAATTTGTCAAATGGCAATGTGTGGTATTTTGGCCATAGTTCCCTCACAATGTCTCTCCAAAACTTTTTTGTAGAATGTAATTCAAAGTCTAGTCGTGACAAGTATAATTCCTTGGACAAATGGTATCCAGACATATGTCGCCTTACATTTCGCAAATGCTTCACTATTTCTTCTGGTAGTGGTTCTTGCGTTTTGTAGTGACCACTTACTGCTTGTATAGTGTGAGGATCATAAAGCCAGTGCACCATTACCTGACCGCATACCTCTGCAGCGTCCCACTCAACATTTGAAAGTCCAGCCACTTCAGAATAGTTTGCTTTTGTTAACAGATGGCGCAAAGAGTGCCCAAATCTGTTGAATAGATGTCTAACATCAGTGAAGGTTAATAAGGAAGGAACTCCTTCAGTTGGAGCTTGGAAATTGAAGATCAATGCAGACAACGGCTGTGTCCCTGCAGAAGTGCATTTGTTCCTCATGGAAATGTGCCATCCTGCATCATCGTAAACGCGAATCTTTTCGTCAACACGCGCGTAAGGATCGAGATAAAATCCAGCAATCGGATTGTTGCTAGATTCATCAAATACATCATAAAACTTCACATCTTTGTGCCATGTGTGCACATTTGGACGTTCAACAATCTCAATTTTGAATAAAGTGCTACACAAGTTAAATAGGCTATTGATTATTTTTGGCAAGGGGAAATATTCACGAATTTTATTTTCATCAAAGTTGTAAAGTGACCACTTTTGCTTTCTTTGCCAGTATGGAATATCCCAAAGTTCCAGTTTGTCATCAAAACCTCTCTCTTGGGCAAATTGTTGCAACACTTCTAATTCAACATCTTGCATGGGGCGCGCAAACTCCAGTAAACTTTCAAGAATATTGGTAACATTCTCCATAGATCCTGCCATTTTGGTCTCCATGCTCATGTCCACAAATGTGTCAAAACCCAATATCTGGGCTTGTTCATGTCTTAGACTTCTGATTTTCTCCAAGTTTGTGCTTGTTTCAAGATCCTTGTTGCCATATCCTGAGCATCGTTGAATCTGAGCCTGCCACGCATTCCACCGCAAGTCTCTGTCAGGGCAATACTGCATGAATGGTTCATAAATGTGTGGCTGTAAAGAGACTTTCCAAGGACCTTTACTAGCATCATTGTTTACTGACATGGCTTTAGCCAAGCTTGCAGGGAACTCTCTCATGAACTGACTGTTGTCTATAGTGCTGGTGAAGACTTTAGTGGCAACATTCACTTTCTCGCGGAAGGTTTGCCTCTCCTTCTGCAATGCAGCTAAGTTAGTGTTAAGTCTGTCCTTTTTGATACCTTTAATATCAAGTCCATTTAGCTTGCCTTCCAAAATATATTTGTCTAATAGCCTTTGTTCTTCATCTGTGAGTTTTTTCATACGATTTTTTTCATCTACAGCAGCTTTGAAGATGGGGACACTGTGGAACTTAGTACATCTAGCTTTATGTGCTCTTTCATGGATCTGAATGTATGACTTTGTGGGCATTAGTGAACTGTTACCCAGGTACAAAGTTTTGGCTACACCCCATGTTAACTCAAGTTGACTGTCTAGCTTTTCTAAAGGTTTGAAAACATCATTGAAAGCATTTTTGCTGTTGAAAGCAGATTGTTCTATCTGACCCACGCCATTTTCATACTCTAAACTTTGCTTACTGACAGCAGCTATACATTTTTCAATCGTAATGGCATTAAATTCTGGGAGGCCTGTTTCTGTAAGAAGCAAATTTTGATCTCCATCTTCACCTATTTCAGGAATCCTGGAACATTAGGAAAGAGAATATTAGTGACTGAAATTGAGATATTGAGTTCTTAGGTTTTTGCCATGGCTACACATAGGAAATTAAACTTTCTTTTTTGCTTTTGGATCAAAATCATGGGTTGATGACTACCATCTCAGTCAACTGTCGCTTTTAAAATATATTTTTAACCTAATAATATATTTCAGTGGGACCATTGACTTACAAAAGTGGGACTATAATATTTAAAAGAAGAAGAACCTAATAAGAGGATATTTCATTAACCCTTTATTAGCTCAAATTTCATTTTTTATTCTGCCAATATCACTTAACATAACATTTAGGAGGCTGCTGAGATTCCTGGAGGAGCTTGGGTGGCACGAGTAGGACCCTGCACCCACCACACGCAAAATAGGCGCTTTGTCGTCGAGTTGCGGATACCAGCCCGTTGCACCAAGTACCAAGATCACTTAATATCCTACATCAGCGAGAATACCTTTCGTCATCCTCCATTTAACCCGGACAAAGACACTAAGGTGGACACTTATTTACGAAGCCCTGGTCTTAATTGTATCCTTAAATAGGACTAATGACTTTGACATGTTCAATATTATTATTATTATTATTAGGGTGGCTTCATTCAGGGCCTATGCATCCCCTCATCACTGCGACCATTGACTGATCTATTGTAATCACCACTAATTACAGTCGTACGCCCATCAGGGGGTAGCATTAGGTGAGTAGATGAACAGGAGTTTCATCCGCCTTGTGGCAGAATCTACATTCACTATTCTCTCTCTGCTCAATATTTGACATTGCTTGTTTAAGCCATAATGACCTGTTAAGGTTCTAGTGAGCAGTCTTAAGCTATTTCTGTCCAATGACAGAGCTTCTCTTCAGTGTTTGGCACTATAGGCAGATATCAGGGCTTTTGAATGAGAGGTGTGTGCTCTCATTTAGCAGAGTGAGACATGTTCAATAACACTGAATCAAAATTTCTAACATGGTTACTATTCGAGACCGCCACCACCACACACACACACCACAATTCTGCAGATTACTTTTAGCAGGTACTTGATTTGACCCTTACATGACTATGACTTCCACGTTTAGTTATAAGTACTGTCTGTCTAAGTTGTACAAAATAAATAAATAAATAAAACTGTGACCATGGGACTAGTAAAGAGCCCAGCAGGGCTAGCACAACAACAAGGCGCGATTTGCGCGACAGCGACATAAGTAAGCCGGAAAGTGCTATCTCTTGATCCGAGTAAGTTTCGAGAAAATCAATTTTTTGTAAATTGTATTTTCCGCACCTTCTAAAATAAAATCTTTTTGATGATGTTAAAACTTATTTATGCATATTTTTGACTAATAGATTTATTGACATACCTAAATTATCCATGAATTATTACCATGCCAGTACCATTATACCTATTTTGTGAAAAACCACTATTTTTATTACAAAGAAAGGTTTCAAAAATTGAGATTATACCATTAGATGTGAAATTATTATAGTTATTGAATGGTATAAATAAACTAAAAGGGTGTATCTCAGAGATAGGGCCTTTCGGCTGAGCAGGTATACGAGATCCAATAACAGTAACTCGCGCTAATCGCGCCCTACAGACCATTGGTTTGTGTGATAAGCAAATATAGGGGGATTTAGATGCGAAATAGAAATTATATTAAAATCTTATAATAAAGAAATTTGTTGCGAATACAACGCATAGAGAAAAATTTTGCGCACCATATAACCATCATTTCATTACAAATTTTAGGCTATAAATATGATATATTTTTCGACGCAACATTAGAACATATATTGCAATTCTGGTAAAGTAATTTTAACAGAACATTTCACTAGTCCATGTGTTGTGCAGAAATTAGGTTATCATTGATAAATTTGACGAAAAAATGTGGAGTTTCTGTACATTACGAGATAAAATAAGTGAATCAATGATACTTACAAAACAACGTATCCCGCATTTCGCGTACTCTGGTAAAACTGCTTTTTTACATGTCTCGCTATTACGCTAGTGCGTAAAAACGATAAAGCCATAATTTAAACGGCAAATATTGTTTAATATAGTAAAATTATTTCATAATCCGTACTAAAACCGCACATATGATTGTGACAAGTGACATTTAGAAACCAGAGATAACAACGTGACTTTTAGCGGTAAAAGCGTTTCAGTCCAGACGTAATAAAAATTATGATCATTTTAAACTTATTTTAAACATAAGATCATGGTTTTAAGCAATGCTTATAAAATAAATGAAAACAATGATCATGGATAGAGATCAATCATTTCAAGATCAATTACATAACAAAGTAAGAAATAAAACACGCAAGTCATCTAAAATATTATTTTAATGTGTCGTGTGTTACTTTACATCGTATTAATTATTTTTCTCTACCGCCGTAGTTACATTTTCTAGCGTTACACTTATCATCTCACAAGAACACCGAGCAATACAAGCGGTACAGTCACGTTCTCTTTCCGTTTCACGCACCTTTGCAGGCTTGATTTCTTTTACTGGCGGATTGCAGCAAAAATCCATATCGAGGCCCATTTTTTCACCATCTTCCAATGTTTGGGGTAAATGTTGATTTAATGTTTCTGGAAGAAGGAGACTGGCTATACCTCCGGCTACTAGTAAGCCTCCCATTATGATCAGAGGTAAGACCATGATGTCAGAGCCCTGAAAAAAAAAACAAGCTAAATACTTACGAATTTCGGAAATACTATGAAATATAATATATAATTTAAAATCTTTCGGATTAGATAGCTCTATATGTATATTAATTAAATACCACTGACTGTAATGATTGTTCACATAAGCGACAATTCTGTGCCCTCGACTTACCAAATAGTTGACAAGCGGTATGAAGATAGGGCCCAGCATTCCAAGAACAGAGCTTAAGCTCATACCCAATCCTCGAACGACAGTTGGGTAAAGTTCTGACGCCATTAAAGGAAGAACGACGAATGATGAAGATATACCCATCTTGCCGACACAGTACAGCGCTAAAGTCACGTTAGTTTCTGGAATAAAGAATTAAATTAAAATTTTAGGTTTCTTTTACTAAGATTTTTTTTCTGTTATCTTGTAGTTATCTAGTCGGTTTATTGAGAGGATCACATTTCCGCCAGCTGGAGATCGTACCAGCTAATGCGAGTAAAAAAAGAACTCGTCAGTCAAACTTACATGTGGAAAGTAACCTCAGTAGTTTTATGATTATTTTCGAACCGAGAATTACATATTTCACCATTTTTGATACTTTTTTGTCACGTCTCGGTGTCGTTGTACTCACTCGAATTCAAGATGGGGACTGATCTCACTGTTGCCTGCAGACAACAGTGACAACAGTGCCATGGGTACCGCTTGAAGGCGCAGATTGCGCATGTATTATTAATTACAAGTATAATATCATTGTAACTCGTAGTAAGAATGCATAGTCAGGTATTTAGTATTTATTTAGTACACTACATGTCGCGACGAGTACCAAATAATTATTTTTGTAACTAATTTGTTTTACATTGACGAGCTGCAATTTATCGAGGCTACTCCACGCATGTTAGTAAGCGTTAATTTTTAAATTAGTTTGTGACACACACTACCAACTACCGATACGTATATTTATTAAAGTTCAGAAGATAATTTTGTCTCTTGATCAATATTTATTTGATATAATAAGGAAAACGAAAAATCACACCATTTATATATATTAAAGAGAAATTGTCATCCACCGCCATTTACATAGTATAAATTACTTCCAGTGGCAGTGTATCGATCAGCGCCATCTAGACAAAAGAGTTAGAGTTAGCTGATTTGTTTTTTAGAGTTAGATCGGCTATGGAGATGAGTAATCAGTCAATGTCACTTTTTTAAACAGTTTTAAAAACTATGCTCCTTAAATATCTAGCTGTGGCCCGTCGTAACTACCACGTAACCAGTAGGTACACATTAATTAACCAGTCTCAAATACACAATTCCCACTTCCCAATGTCATTATCACACTATACTCCTAAATTTACGTTACTAAACTAACACAATATTAAATATCTTTTAAACGCACTAATTGTTTTTCAAACTCTAGGTACCCATCCTCTTCTGGATCCCAAATGAACAGTTGTACTGTCCTGGTTTGGGACGTCAGAGTACCTTTACTCGTAAGTCATATTGTTTCAAATACGATTGACACAGGCCTGTCGTGGTGACAACAGTACTATCCGCTAGCACAGGTTGAATCCTTTTGTGGGGTTTGGCTGTTGTTCGTTTGGTCAACAATCAGTCACTGTTAAAGCACTATTATGTAAGTTTGTTCCCTACTATGTTAATGACTATGAATAAACATTTACTATTTACTATTTTTAACTTACCGTGCTGTACTAAAAAGGTGGTTAAACAAGCGATTCCCCCAACGACCATGCTCATACATAACGTCCAACGACGTCCAAGTCTCTCCATCGACGGCCAAAGGAACAAATATGTCGGCAACTCTACTATCCCAGCTAGAAAGAAGTTTAAAAACTCATCTCCACCAAGTACAGGAGCATAATATGATAATCCCACGTAGACGCTCGTATTCGTGAACCAAATGAATGTGATAATAATTGTCTTCTTTCGCAAATTCGGTGTGCGAAATAAATCTAATATTCCATACTTTCGAGATCTCTCTTTTTCGATGTCTTGCTTGAGTTTGTCGGATTCGTATTTGCGACGGAGATGTACCATGTAGTTAGCTGGGAGAGATTTGCCGTTTATTCTGTGGAAGATTATAACGATGGTTATTATTAAAAGTCGGTACTACCTCAGCTGGAATTCATTTTTTTCCGTACTGAATCGATTCTATTGCACGAGTCGAGTGGCAGGAACACTGGCTTTATTTCAGATTTTTTTTTACAAATGTAATGGAAGCCATTTCAAATGTATATCGTATACTATACATGTGCTATTTAGTTCAGTTGATATTAAATAATCTCAGTACAGAGTACTAAAAAAACCGACCTCAAAAGTAGGTGGAATACTACTCAAAGTATATTGAGAGAAAAACGCCTTGAATTGGAGAAATAGCAAAATCAACCATTAAAGTAATTGCTCCTAAATTAAAGTTAGGCGCTCTTTATAAATATGAATCTTCATGCGTGAACAGCCACCCTTCGAGGTGGATGATTTTCTTCAAAATGAAATGGGACTACTATGGAAGTAACCCCTTTCCAACAAAAAAAGAATCATGAAAATCGGTTCACAAATCGGTATTTCTTTTTTTTTGTTTGTATGTTACGCGATAACTCCGGTGAGTTATCGCGTAACATACAAACAAAAAAAAAGAACATACAGTCGAATTGAGAACCTCCTCCTTTTTTGAAGTCGGTTAAAATATCATTGTTATATGTAAAGTACCTATTCAATACAGCGGTTGACTTGTAAATTATCCAGGTCAGTTTGTGTTTTTTTTTCAATCGTGAAAATTTTTAGGATTCGTTTTCACTCCGTATATTAATCACTAATCAGTGTAGTTATATCCTCAATTTTACTATATATTTTTTTGCAAAGTGATTGATTCAACATTTTCTCTGTTATGCGGAATAAACCAAAGCTATTTGAGGTTGAATCCACTCTCATAGAATCGCATTAGTAGGTATTCTTTAATGTTTTGATTTGATAAGTCACTGTCGGTCACAATATTTAAAGGAATTATACTTATAGTTAAACTTTAAAAAAATAGTTGTTTGATACTTGTGTCATTGTACTAAGTATAAAAAAACCCACCTAGCCATCCTCTTCAAAATGACTTCAGCTTTCTCAAATTGTCCTCTTGCAAGCAACCATCTTGGGCTTTCCGGCATAACCCATAAATAAAGAAAAAAACAGACGAACGGCAATGTCGTGGCGAGAGCGAGTTGTCGCCAGTCTCTTATGAGGTAGACGACTCCAGCTAGTAGGATCAGGCCCATGGAATATGCGATGTTAGATAGGATTGTGCAGAGAGTACGACAACGAGGTCCTACAAGTTCGATAGCTGAAAGGAAACAATGTAATAATTTCAGTACAGAGTTGTTGCCACACTTAGAGGTGGAATATTTCTTTCTTTCTTTTATTTCTTCAAATTTAAATGGGACCACTTCTGCGGACCTTCTTTCCAACAAAAAATTAATCATCAAAATCGGTTAACAAATTTAATATTAACGGAGTTATTGCTTAACATACATAAAAAAACACATGCAGTCGAATTGAGATCTTCCTCTTTTTTTGAAGTCGCTTTAAAATAGACACGTAATACAACGATAACGATGAAAAATAATAATTATTAATTTTAGTTATTATCAATGTTCGGAAAAAGGTATGGATACATGTATAGACGTAGCTACAAGGAGTGACATTAGCGTTGTAAAAACCAACAAATATTAATTTATTACTTTTTTGAATTTTAAACTAATTCTAATGGTGCTGTAGATAACTGACAGCCTTGTTGCCGCTCCTCAATGTGACCGTCAAAACGCGAGGCGCGGTGCGGTATCTTAAGCTCGGGAGGGGCGGAGAGTGACCATTCTTGTTAGTTTTTTATTCTCTGCTTTGGTAAAAGGTCGGTTATCTACTGCATTTTTTTACATGACACTATAAGAATTACTTTAAAATCCAACTTCGAATTTCTAGGCCAGTAGTTTTGTTCTACGATGCAGTAAAACCTTTTCCGGAAATCCCGAATTCGAAAAAGTAATTAATCAATATTTGGTTGTTTTGACAACTGTATGTCACTCCTTTGGCCTATGTTCAGCAGTGGACGTCTTTTGGCTGAAATGATGGTGATGATGATGATGTCGCTCCTTGTAACAGTATATATATATATATATATATATATATATATATATATATATGTGGAACAACTGTTCCCGTCTATTGGTTATTATTTAAGTATAACATATTTAGGAAATGAAACTATTTTTCCGGATTTAAATCGCGTATATTTGTTTTTTCAAACAAACCGTACAGTAATCATCAGGCAGGGGAACTTCAGCATATAACGCAAGTCCTACATGCGAATAAGTTGAAGATTCCACGCCAATACCGCGGACCCCGTGTGAAACCACCAACAGTCGAGCGAAGACCTGCCATCTTACCTTACGTGAGAGGTGTTACAGACAAGATCGGAAGAGTCCTCAGGAGTGCATCTATCAAGACCTATTTCAAGCCCCTGAGGAAGATTTCTCAGTTCCTGAGATCCGTGAAATCTAACATCCCCTTAGCTTGACTGTGAATGTGGTTTCTCTTATATTGGACAAACAAAGCGAAGTATTTGTACCCGCGTCAAAGAACATATAGCTGATGTCAAAAACCGTCGCGTAAACAAGTCTGCAGTCTGCGAGCATGTCATGTTTGCATCAATATTAGACATAACTGGTTGAAGACTGTACCACCTCAGTCAACCGTGACCATGGGACCTGTAAAGAGCCCGAAACGTCGGTTTGTTTGAAAAAACAAATATACGGGATTTAAATCCGGAAAAATAGTTTCATTTTCTATGTGTAACAATCGCGAAAACCTAAGAACTCGATGTAACATATTTATTTCCTCATTTATACTTTCGCCGTCAGTACCATAGGCGTTGGAGTTGCCAGGAGACCCATATCACAAGTTCCTCTTAGTTTGGGTTCCAGTTACTCTAAGTTCATGGAATAATATGTATCACTAGTCACTACCGTTCTGTATTTTGTTTTGTATTGTGGAGATAAATAAAGATATTTATTTATAGGTATATTTTTACAATAATAAACAATACAATAACGCACACACTCAACATAGCGCCGCACTAGGGAAACCCTGTGTCGCGGGTGCAATGGACACACACATAGACAATCATAAATTACACCCAAACTCACGAGAGAAATAAATGTAGGCCATACAAATATTTCTCCCGGCCCGGGAATCGAACCTGTGACGTCTGCGTCGCAGTCCGGCATGGTAACCGTTTGGCCACAGAGGCAGTTATTATATAATTGTAACATAACAAATCAAATCACAATCTGAAGATATTTCAGTTATGGAACTCGCACTCATAATAGGGGATAATCTGGTAATATCTGATAATCTGTTGACCTTACAAGTAAAAAAACCTGATTAGTTTTGCTGTTTGAGAAACACTGTTGATTATTTCAAAAGGGAAAAGGAAAACTTATTTATTTTGGGTTCCTACTACAGGTCAGATTTCAAAAAATAGGTTAAGGTATAGACAGTGCTTATTAAAAAAGTTTTACACAATAAGATTCAACTTACCCAAAACGTAGGGCGTGGCCATAATTGCAGGTACGGTGAACCCGACGCCGACTCTATATATAATCCAGACGATGTAATTTTGGGCGAACGCTGTGGCAACTCCGAAGATACACTCAATGAGCAGATAGATGAAGAAGGCAGGCTTTCGTCCAATAGTATCTTGGAGGTAGCCGAAGATATAGTTGCCTATAATGCCACCTACAGCTAGCAGGACCAGGCCGAGGGTTGGGAGAAAGTCATGGTTGCAGACCAGGTTCCACTGAGAATTATTATTAGTGTTTACTATAAATTCGTGTAAAGTCTGTCTGTAAGTTTTAATGATTATCAATGAACTCGTAGACCTCCTCAGTCGTAATAATCGCATTTATGTTTACGCTTAGTATAGTTTCGGGAACACTGTACGAAATGTTCGGACCATAACTTGAATAGTAAAGTTTCAGTTCCGCAAACCCTGGCTTCTTGTGAAGCTTCTTGAAGCGTGAAACGCACAAAGAACGGGAGCGGGTCGGGTGCATGTCGGGTCGAGAGGACGGCGGGTGTAAAATCCGCGCGTAATTGGCCCGACTTATTATGAGACCCGTTGGCTTAAAAAACGAGCCTAATGATGAAACATTTGATCTTCGACTGAAAGACCTTCTGTCGGATAATGCGTATTATTCCATTGAAGATTATAGGGACATGATCTTGTAATACAATGTTGTATTTGTTAGATTATTATTTATAAATATTATTTTACAGAAAAGCATAAATTACATATTATGTAATTTAATAAACTTAACGCATACAATTATTATTTTGACATAATTATTATTATATTATTTAATAAGTTCCTACATTATTTCACATAACTACATTAACTATGTTAAAATTATATAGTAAAAAATCTTGTACTGGATATTTTTAATTTTTTCAAATATAACATTTATTACTATTTGTAACAATTCTTGTAATACAATATATCGATATCAGAAGTGTCAATTAACGTAAGGGATATTTTATCGAAAATGAGTTACATATATCATTGGATTCGGAAGTTCCCGCTCTATCGATTGGTATTATTAAAATTTAGGAATGACCAGTGGTTTAAAATATAACAAGTTCTTTACATCCTTGCATTCTATTGTAAATGATCCTTTACAATAGAATTACGTATAATTTTGTATTTCTCTTCCTGCTTACACTATGCTCGACGGTTTACACATAAAATATTACTAACGTAAGGCACAACTAAACATCTTTTTTTAATGTAAGGGACATGCTATATTTTAAACCGCTGGGCATTTCTAAATATTTTGTATTATAGCATGAAAGAAGATGAAATTCTAAGAAACTTTGCTCTAGACACAATCAAAATTGGAGCAGACAGAAAAAAGATATAGACAAATTTAAGAAAATAAAATAGTTTTTTGGCTCTCCTGGAAAACCGTGGCTTGTCCCTTGCATTATCGATACTTCTGGTATGGATATGTTGTATATAATAATGTAAAGTTTACAAGATTAAAAAAAAACTGGTATTTACATGGACGACAACTCACCACGAGCGGGCGCGGGATCCAACCAGCTGCGCCCATCTCGCGCCCGCACGAAGTGTGTTGTCGTCCACATAAATACACGGAATTGCGCCCGCCGCGCGACGTGCTCCCGACCCGACACGTGCCCGACCCGCCTCCCTGTCAGTGTGACCTCGGCTCAGCTGCTTATTGTCACCAAGCCAGTTCTACAGTCAACGTCTTTGGAACTAAATGTCAATGTTGTAGTTATTGTTTTTAAATTATCTTATGGAAAGATTTAAGTCTAGATACATGAATAAGATAGGGATTGGGGATAAACCTTACTTCGCTTATCAATAACTCATAAATTCAACAGTTCTGTGTCAGGTAGAGTCATAAGTAAATAGAGAACGACATTCTATAATTGATTCTCTGTTTAGTACAATATCGACGTACACTCATTGACTTACAATTATATGGACGTCGGGTCCGCGCTAAAAAGTGTAAGGCGCTAAAATCGTATACAGAGCGCGACACTCCGCTTTAGTCTTCATTTGTTCTACTGACAGCGCGATACTGCGATGACATTACAATTTAAATTTCGAATAGGTTGACTTGGGACATTTTTTTCGTGCTTTTTGTATTAGACCCGTCGTCCATTTATTTGTAAGTCAATGCGTACACTATTTAAAAACAGCCCACACTATAAAGCCATACAAATCTATAATGAAATACCTGACACTATAAAAGAGGAAATAAGGGATAAATCTTTTTGCCGCCTTTTTAAAAATGTGTTACCAAAGTGCTACTACTCTTTAGGTGAGTTCTTGAATGACGATTGTAAATAATTAACATAATATAATGTAACATCGTAATACAAATCTAGATATATTTGGAATTTTAAATTAAATATGAATAATATTATATACAAAATACATTTACAATTTGGTCAAATGTGAAATAAGACTGTTTAAAAAATCATTCCACGTTGTCAATTCACATAGGTATCTCAATTATGTCATGTCTTACCTCAGAAACGACAGTGTTGGCATAAATATTCTTCTCATAAGTCCACCCATGCCTACAAGGCATAATTTCAGCAGGAACCTCTTTGGTGATAGCCTCCTCTACACTACTGTAGGTTTTAAGTATATCGGTGTAGTTTAATTTAAACATACTGCATTCGGAATGTTGGAGGACGCCATTCTTTAGCTCAAAAGGAATGCTGCAATTTAAGAACGATTGCCCAATTTGTTCAAGTAATTGTTATGGACACCAATGCGGTATACCGCCAAATTATTTCAAACTACCTGTGTACTTGTAGTACTTACCTAAGATTCTTAACAAGTGCGGAATCTGTGATATGGTCAAGTTCGGGCACTCGGCACCAATGGGTGATCTCTGCAGCCATGAAGAGCTGCGCGTATGCGTGGAAACCACACGGTATCACAGCTGGCAGGAGAACGAAGTACACGACTAGTTTTTGGTAGCGCCCAAATGTGCCCACGTCTTCGAGAATTGCGTCAAAATCCATTGTGATAAACGAGTCGAACGTATTTAAAAAATCCTGTCACGGAGAGACAGATGAGAAATTGTATAAACAAGGTGTCCGCTACAGAGCACGTATTCGTGAAAAAGAATTCACTGTCGCGTAAGAGAATCTGAAATATGATATTCATTACTGTGTTGTAGAAAAAAATCAAGATTTAAAAGTAACTTACCTTGATTCTATTTGACACAGGCACAATAAGTCACTCGGTACAAATCATCGGGCAGTTGTAAACGCTATTGTGTGCGCAAGCGACTGGCAGATTGTGCAAACAAATACTTGTCCTGCGCCCGGACCCTAAGCGCTATGGGTTCATTTATAGGACGCTTTTTTACAATCATAAGGATATGAGTCGTGTATAGGGTACACAGAACATGTACCTACCTACACAAGAAACAAAGCATATCCTGACTTCTTATAAAAAGCCACTTGTGAATATATTATGTTAAGTGTTTTTATAAAATGAAAATTATAAAATCCTTAATACAAACTTCATGAAACAAATTGTTTTTAAGTGATATTTTGTAACTTTCCCATTTATTTTTTCTCAGTATATTAACACGTTCATCGCCGTGGTGGGTCAAAATGACCAGCATCTCATCTACCTATTGGGGCCGTGGGGGGTTAAACTGACTGGCACGACACACCAAATTTTTGCGATTATATTATATGACCGGAGCGTCCGTAACGAATTTCTGTTGGCATTTTGAATTTTAGGTTTTTTGATGGCATACCCGCTTTTCTAGACTTACAAGAAAAGATTTTAAGAAATAATTTATTTATTTATTGCATAAGTTAACAAATTTCATGTGAAATAGTAAAATTTACAACCTAGAGATAGCACTGGGCTGCGTCAATCGAAAAATTTCAAACTGAATTTAAATCTCAAGTAATTTCAATACAGAGTATTAAAAAAACCGACTTCAACGTTCATCCTCTAGTTTGCCACGCTTCGGAGTGTGATATATTTTCTTCAAATTTAAATGGGACTGCTTCAAAGGTGGGTACCTCTATCTATGCAACAAAAAACAATCATCAAAATCTGTTCACAAATGCCTGAGTTATCGCGTAACATACATACAAAAGAAAAACATGCGGTTGAATTGAGAACCTTCTCCTTTTCTTGAAGTCGGTTAATGAAAGACGTGTGTCAGTTTTAGGTAAACATCGAATAGTATGTGTATTCACTCTCTGCCCTGCATTGTGTCCGGGGCGCGGCCTAAACGTAATAATTATTGCTTTAGGCCGTATTAGTAATATTTATAGTATTATATTCCGCAGCGTCTTAGATGTCTTAGTGTAAAGTTTGGACTGCGACGTAAGCTGCCGAATTACAGTGATCGCTTGTGCAAATTTGGCATGATCAGTCTTGAGGATCGTAGGCAAGTGTCAGACTTATGTACTTTGCACAAAATTGTTAATTCTGCCATGGATTCTCAGCTGATCGAACACCTGTGTTTTAGGGTACCTACTCGTTCTATGCGTACTCCGCAGTTGTTTGGTGTACCTCTTACAAAAAATAATGTTTCACAGAATGGACCATTGTGCAGGATGTGTCGATCATATAATAGCATATGTTCCCACCATGACATTTTTTTCTGTAGTTTTGAATGCTTCAAAACAACACTGTTAGTATTGGCAATAAATGACTTAAACTTTTAACGTCTGTCTTTTATATTGTAATTTGTGATAATACAAATGTTGTGTACAATTATAATTGGATGTCAGATTTATAATGTTATATATATGTAATAGCTCTAGTATTATTTGTCTGTTGTTGTACCATATAATAAAAAATAAAAAAAATCATTCTTTGTTAAAAATTCTACGAAAAAATTTGTCGATAACTTTTTGTACTTAAATAGGAGTGTCATAAAATTACACATGTACACACGCCAGCACATCAAGCTTCACATTAACGTATCTTGTTCCGTTGCACTGGAGGCGATTTTCGAACAAAAATGTAGTGTAGTCTGATGTGCCGTCGTCCGTACATAATTTATTTTTTCATTTAGTTCAAATTATTGTTATGACTTTCATGTAGTGAAAACACTTTTGACGTTAGTCACACGTGACTTTACTATACGAAGAATACAATTTTTTTAGTAGCAGTACTGCCACCTTACTTATTTCTGCCGCCAAGCAGTAATATGAATCATACTTAGAATAATAACGCATAGAATGATAGTTTCATATCAAACGAACTGTCACAAGTGAGGCAAAAATCAAATTCATGTAGGCTAGTTTTAGTAGTAGGTTAATTTTCGGTTTTAGTGAATATTTATATAAAAATACAAGTTGAAACGCGTTACTTCCTTGCGGAATGTGATGTTAGTATCTATTTCATGTTTGTCTGACGTATTTTTGCACTCATTTACCGCAAATTTCGTCATTTTTAGCTAAAATTCTTGAGCTGTTCGCGGTGCAAGTTGACCTTGAGCTTGAAGTCCCGCCCGCTCGTGTAGGCCCATTGGGAGCGATTTGCCTCACTTAGCGTGTGCGGACTAGGTTTCTATGCGTTATTATTCTAAGTGTTCATATATAAAATGTAAAACCGAAACGTAGTAATCTGCGTTTCGGTTTTGAAGGGTAAGATTTAACAAATTATGTCTCAGGGTGACGGGTGCCTCTGTAGTGGCAGTGCCCTTCAGATCTTTGCGATTTAAAGCTCTTAGTGGCACTGCAACTACTATGCACAGGCGTGTCGCTAACCACCAGGCACACGACTTTGTTTCTCCCGCCACTTGGTGTCATAAAAAAATAGAAATAGTTTAAAAATGCAAAAATGTGATCACCCTATGGACCGTCAGGATGGAGCGCGTGGGCAATTATCCCATCAGTGGACAGCCAATTCGATTAGCACTAATCGCCGGGGAAAGGACGCAGACCAAGGTCAGGAACTGACGAGGGATAGACACTGGTTTGTGTACACTACTTAGTTTATAGAAACATTAATTTTAGATTTAATTATTATGTACGAATACGGACGTGCACGTTACACGTTTAACTACGTGATTGCTCATACATTCTTTATGTAATATACAAAACCGTTGGTATATTTTATTCTTATTATTGTTGACATTAAATTGACAACGATAATTAATTTTGTGACTGATTTGTTATAGTTCAAACTTTTTCTTTCATTTTCCATTTTCCTTGCTATACTCCTTCCGGCTTGAGGTGAAAAGTTGTGTTTCGTTCGGCAGCAGTTGTTTTGCGTCTCGTGCCTTGAAACGCACGCCGATTGTTGCCCAGGGTGCGCCAGACGTCCGGGAAAGGGATGGTATGTCGTGTGGGGAGGCGCGACTTACGACGATTAAAATGTGACGACGACAAAAACATGTAAGAATAAAGAGATAGAGAGATAGAGATAGAGATATATTTATTTGTAAGCATACACGGTAAATACAGTTTACATGTTTAAGATTACACTCATGGTTCAGCGTGTTGCGCCAGTAACTGGCATAGAAATGTTATTAGCAAATATTATACATTGTTCACATTTATTACACATAGTCATAATATCCATATAATTAAAATCATATCGTATTACATTATAAAATTAAATTTTGTTCATTAAATAATATAATTAAAGAAAAATTATGATTTAATAAAAAAGAGAAACGCATGTCAAAGCAATAAATATGTAGAGGGTCGCAGGCTTCAAAACTTAAATGTCAAAAACTCATTTACAATTATAAAAACAAACCTTACCTATTTCTGCCGCCAAGCAGTACCGGTTTTGAAGGGTAAGTGTGCTGGGGAAATTACAGGCACACAGGACTTGTCAATTTATGTCACAGGGTGACGGGCGCAGTGGCAATGCTCTTCAGATTTTTGTGATTTAAAACTCTGAGTGGCACTGCAACTGTTCAGGACAGGCGTGTAGCTTACCATCAGGCGCACGACTTGTTCGTCCCGTCATTTGATGTTGTAAAAAATAAAAAAAAAAACATTTAGAATCGAAAATTAAACAAAAGAATAACAAAATTACTACACATACTTTGAGTTTATAAACGTGTTTTATAATTATGTAATAAAAAGACGTTTGACCCTTTCTCGAGTAAACTTGAAACTCGAATTTCGATGTTATTCTGGAAGTTTCTGGTCGACCGATAATATAAATAGTCTTCTATGTATGACACATCCTCTTATACCACTCCGGGTCATTCACAGCGACGGATTCCGGTCGGCCATCTGTATACCGGTAGTGGAACTCGGAGACTCCCCGGCCTGGTATTCCGTTCACAATAAATTTGCAGAACCTCTCCACCATGCGAGCCTCCCAGTCCTTCGAGACGTAGTGGATTGCTTCGTATTCCACGAAAACCTTTGGGAGGGCAAAAAAGTACATATTTATTATTTGTATATCTGATAAATATGGTTTGAAAAGGACCATCACCATAATAACATCCCTATTGAGCAGCAGCCGTCTTTCGTAATTTGTTTTTCACAGTGCTTTACTAGGGCTTTCATACCGGAAATGTCGGTTATATATATATATCGATATTTTCAGATTTGAGATTTTTGAGTCTCAAGTCACTTAGTTCATTCAACACTAGTGAAAACTCTATTCCTGTTTTTATTAAGAGTTTGAAGCTGTTGGTTTACCATGAATAAGTAAATAAATTAGAAAATTTACTAAACTAACAGTCATTTTTTATTCTGGTTACATGGACATGCCAACACTGTAGATTTATGTTTCGTATAATCTGTGGATATTGACGAACTATAGTACCTAATAAAATCATGTCCTCTCTGTGTATGTAGTTTCAACATTAAATATCTTTTGTTTGTTACGTGCCCACTATAAAAATGAAATGAAAAAATCTCATAAATAATTTAAGGTAATAAACAACTCGATAAATATGTAATGTTTGTGACTACCTAAATCACGCCTATCTTTTAATTGTGGCAACCTACTTTGGAAATAGTGTCGAAAGTCTAGTTTATCTCGGAATTTTCGAGACCGCATCTAGTATCGTTTTTTTTAGGGACGTGGAAAAGCAGCGAGACTTAAACCTCGATTCTGCACATTTGTGCGCGCAAAATTAAACAAAAAAATTTTGATCTTTCAATTTAATAACAATCATCTCAGTTCACAGATCGAAAATCATAATTTCGGATTCGTCACAACCTGTAGTGTTGTATTTTTTATACTAGTTTCCAATTTCACGCATATCGGCTGAGGAATAGAGTAATTTCATTCGTAGATTGCGCAAATTGTCGATGATAGAAAAATACCTCCATTATACAGGGAAATTAAAGAACAATTGTCACGTTTAGCATGGTGGTAACGAAACCGCAATCTGATACTTAATCTGCAATTTCTATACGATTGAAGACGCAACTGTCCATCTCACGGTTTTTTTAGCCGCTTTATACGGTATGAACTGCAAAATAGTAATAAAGCATAGTTTCCCAAAATAGTCCCTTCCACCCCCTACGTGGGCGCTGAAGAGTCCTAGGGACTTCAGAAGCGATTTAGGGGGGGTTGATGCTGTCCAGGAGGTGCTACCGTATTTGAAAAAAAAAACCTGTATTGTCTTTATTATAAACTACACTACATTATTATATATACATATATACTATATAATTTTTTTCCTTGTGATTTTTTTGTGTTAAGTTAATATAAAAAATATGTGTTTTCAATATTTTTTTTGTGGTGGTGGGCGCTAAAATTTTTTTATCTTGCCTAAGTGGGCGTTGAACTGAAAAGTTTGGGAACCTATGTTCTAAAGTCATAATGACTGCACAACAGTGTCCAGTACCTGAACTGTGTAAACTTCATCTTCTGCTTTGAAGTTGAAGGCATAGTCTTTGGGTGCTACACCGCCTTCACCGTGCTGGTACAGCTTCATGTCGACCCACTTGATCGGCAGTATGGTTCCGTTGGGCAGAGCAATCTCACCGACTTCGAAGCTTGAATGTGCAAAGATGATTAAAACATCATCAAGAGATGGGAGCTCATTAAAATTTTATCAGCAATCGAGAAAGCAAAAATATATTCGCCTAACCCATAAAATACCCATGAAAAAGTCAAGGAAAACAATTCTACAATTCTGCTTGCTGCCGGAAATTAGGGAAATTTGAACTCTCTTATTTTCCCAATTCCCCACACGTAGAAATACTCAAACCCCCAAATGAGTTGTTTTACAGCTCCATTCCCCACAAAATTCCCAACCAAGTTCGTAATTCCCGAGACATTTTATTAAATAACCTAAAATCGCCCTTTCCTATTTCTTTGGTCGCCACACGACTCCTGAATAACACAAGAGATAGTACTTACACAGAAGCGGTGCAAGGCTGGCAGATGACGCCCACACTAATACTAGTGCCGTTCTGCAGAAAGATGTGATGAAAAGCATATCGGTGCATCAGACTCCAGTCACGAATGTTGCCTGAACACATGGAAAGTTATCAAGGTATGTAATTATATAATGTACAAGCTTCTATTATAATAACATTCCGGATATAGAGAACGTAGGGCGCTGGCAGTGCGGGGCAACATGTTGGCCCGTAGGTTTGCTAGGTGTACTAGTAACGTTAAGGTATCGCTATTTAAAGCTTACTGCCAAACCTTTTGCATCTGCAGCCTATGGGTTAACTACAACCAGAAAGCTCTTAGCTCCCTACTAGTTTTATATAATAATATATTCAGGATGTTGCGGCTGCCCCGATTCTGCAGCAACTCGGGAATGTTCGCGTATGCACAAATAGATGGGTTCGCTGCCATCATACGAAAAAGAGTGGCCTCCTTGATGCGCAGAATCCGTGGCAGCGGCTGCGGCCTCCTGAGTATCATTGCTCGCGTCGCGACCCATGTTCGCGCCACTACAGGCGTAGGCCTGAGGTTTAGTGTTGGGAAGGACATGAAATTAAAATGAGTTTCAAAGAGTACCTCATTTAAAAAAATAAGGCGATACAATGTCCTACTTCAAATGAGGTGACCAACGGCAATGACTGAACAGACAGGGAATATTAAGCACATTTTCATAATTTGATGGTATCAATGTATTGGGTAACTTAAGTGTTATGATATAGTATAAATAAATGCTAATTATATTTAGTACTATGGTAGTATGATCATACGATGTAAAATCAGCTAAAAAGAGTAGTGCAGGACGAGTTATTGTTACATTTGTTGAATTCGAAGCAGTGTGACATGAGTGAGGCTGTGACATGAGGTGTTGTGACAAACTAACCAAGCGAGTGGTACAAAAGAGTTGCCTAGAGTATGAGTAACTCAACACTACTGAGGTTGCGCAGATTTGCCAGTGGCGCAAACACGCCAATCACAGGCGAAAAATGTTCAGTGCAACATTATGAACATGACTTATGTTCAGGTTGTTCGGTTAGTTAGGTAGTGTGGTAATTCAACAGAAGTACAGGCCTGGGTACGGTAAAGTGAAGATATATATCCCGAATTGAATGGAATTGAAAGTACAAAAAATGCATTGTATAGCTTTACCATAGCTATGGTCTCGGAATGAAGGTAGAGTGTACTCATAGGATTCTTCACCGATCTTGAATTTGCAATTCAGTACGCCGAATTGTTCGTAATGTGATTGATGTGCCCTGAAAATAAATGTTGGTTAAATTATGCAAATTGGGGATGTTAAAGGCGTACATGAAATATTGAACCTATGTCTCCTAGGACTTTCCCTGCCTAGGTAGTGGACTTCCTACCTTACCTACTCACGCACTGTTCGTATTTTCATATTTTAGTAATGGTTTAAATATTTTTAATATTAGTACAGCTCCTTGAGAAAGTATTTGTCCAGGGAAGTTCTGCCAACGTAGATTAACCTTAGAACTAAGTCCAGCCTCATGGTACCACGATGTTCTTTAACTAAGGTAAACAATTCTTTTACGGGGAACTGTATACGTTTTTACAATAAGGTTCCGGGGCGTATATTAAGATTATCATTTTCTAAATTTAAAACTTACATTATAAGTATTTTAATTGAAAATTCATATTAAAAAATTGAAGAGTAGTGTTAGATAAAGATGTATGGAAAGACAATATGAGTCTAAGTTCCACACAATTATGATTCAAAGTGCATTAATCCATAGCATTTAAGTTTATTTGAAAAGAGCAATACCTAGAGCTTTTTGTTCGTTCTTCTCTGGGAGGTCAGCGCAGTGAACGAGCAGAAGCTTAAAAAATTACGTTTTCACGTGTAAAAATTTTACGGATTATTGGACTTTGATTTTGACTTTGACCATACCCATTGCTGCCTCCAGGCAGCAATGTGAGCATTAATTACTGTGTTTCGGTTTTGAATGGGTACCTATACAGGTGCTAGGGAAACTACGGGTGAGGCTTTGTGTTGAACTTTATGTTTTTGAGTGATGATGGGTCTTTGTGATTTGATGAGCTCTGAGTTGCACTGTTATGTTAAATAATATTGTCTGTGTTTGTTGTCTTACGTTTTTAGGGCCTTAAAGTACTGCTTGGTCCATTTCTCTCTAGCGATGGATCTGATAACTGCCGGCGCATGCAAGTCGCAGTCGAAGTCGAAGTAAGACGTCGTCGCACACCACTCGCCCTTGAAGTCAACGTCCACCAGTTTGTCTGGTTCGTTTTGGAATCTGAGTATTTGTAATGTTTTTTTAATCATGGTTTTTTAATTATGTTGATTGAATGACAGGTTGTTTCACCATGGTATTCAATTATTTTTTATGAAATTACTCCACTAGTTTGTTATACTTATTAATACAAATATAGAACACTGAAGAAAAAATCCTTCGATACGTCAAATCCGATCCAAATTCAAAAGCACGTAGAAAAAATCGTAAGGTCCGCTGGTTCGTTCCGTGGCTTAGTTGGCATAGCGTCTGCCACGGTTGTTAGAAAACGTCGAATCGAATTCGATCAAAGGATTTTTTTCTAACTGTTTGATCTTTTTATTAATAATTCATTATCATTATCCACAGCCTGATTTCACCCACTGCTGGGAATACGCCTTCCGAGTGTATGCCAACCACCATGGTCCTGTGCCGCATCTAATGATAAATATCATGTTTTTTTACTGACATGATATTTATACACTTTTTGTGAAAATACTCCACTAGTTTGTTGTTATTATTATTAATCGAGCAACCACAAAGAAACCAGCGACCTCGCCATACCGGTACTATCGCTCTCCCGACTGAGCTACGGTACGAGTCTGTAAACCTTACCAATCTCTCCATGTTTTGTTACAGATCTTTTTTGTTTTTGGTTTCAGACCTGTGAGAAATCGATGTATTGGTCTATCAGAGTATTAGTTATTCAAATGTTGTTAGAAATAATAAGCATCCATAATCAATGCTTTACATGGTAATATAAGAGCCAATGCACATGGCGTATTTTATACGCACCGTAAACTGGCGTCATCTGCGATACATCGCTCATATTTATAAGAGATACTTTTAATTTTACTTTTGTTTGTTAATTTTTTAAATGAAGTAACTATATGAAATTCTATATAAGCTTCTTGCTTGCGTCGCGATTATAGCGCGCGTTTGAATCGATTCACTTTAGCGCAGATGACGCTCATATACGCGCATACACGCGCAGATGGCACGCGTTTAAAATACGCCGTGTGCTCTAATATGTTTTATCGCAGTCAAGAAATTATAATACGATCTTAAAATTTATAAGTAAAAAAGTTTACAAATGCAAAATTTCATCGAGTGCCGTGCCAGAAGCGCTGAGTACGGCATCGTGCTCAGAAGGCTGGCCACATGTCCCCTTGGCATTGCTAAACTTATTCTTTGGCACCTACAATACGACATACATACACTTGAAAAACACAACCCTCCCGCAGCCGGGTAAAAAGGGATTCGGCCATCTCATATATCTACATACTATCTGTGATAGTCTAATTTATTTCCTAAAATATCCGATTTCGAACTACATTTTTCACGAAGAATTTAGGTTCCGTTTTGTTCTGTAATTAATGTTAGATCAAACGGCATTCGACCTCAAGTAGGGAACTCGTTCTGACTACCTATTTTAACCCTTTGGAGTCGAATCTCTTGAACCGTGGTGCAGCTACCTCGCTCAACGTATTAGCATAGCAATACAAAAGAGGAACGCTGCTAGCATCTTGGGCACCTTGCCGCGTGGACCCAATATTATTCATATAATTTAATTCTAGTTTTAGGTTTTTGTATTTAAATTTTTATTGTACCAATGTATTTTAACTTATTGTGAAAGAATTTTATATGACTACCTCATCTGTCCTTGGTAAGCAATGGTCCATTTTTTCATGGGTTCAACCGGCGTGATCTTCAGACCCTCAGCGCCGAAGTCAAACACGTCAGCGCCGAATATCACTGTGTCTGGCAATTTCTTGCTGAGGAGCAATCCTTTGCCTGGTAACTGGTCAAATTTCACAGTTGCACGTTATCATAACAGATATCAAGCCATGTAATTTTAAAAATAGATATTTTAAAGATAGATAGATAGATACACTTTATTGCTCGCATACAAGAACTAGAACAGTACAAGAACAACTTAAAACAAATGTGGGCAAAAGCGGTCTTATCGCTATTAGCGATCTCTTCCAGACAACCTTTGAGGTAGAGGAAAGCTCGGATTAGCTCTAGTGGGCGAAATGTGCCAATTTACAAATAAAAATGAATTATATATAACTACCGTTATAATTTATCAAATACTTAATAAATAAATAAGGATACATTATACCTACATGAATATATGTATAAATAAATATATCTAAATAAAGTTATGGACAGTCGTGTCGCTTACCACCAGGGGCACGACTTGTCCGTCACCTCATATCATAATCAAACGAAAAAGAATATTATAAAGTAAATCTTACCCCGATATAAAACAGAGCGTTGCACATGCCCATGGGGCGTCTCTCACAGCCGGCGACGACGTAAATGCCCTTATCGTTGTCATTTTTCGTGGCTGATATGAAGAAGACTGCATCAAAAGCCTAGAACACATTGATTGATTACTCCATACATAAGTTAATATCAGTTTACATGTACATATTATGTAGATGAAGTGGGTTAGGCGGAGTTGAGGTGCTAGGTCAGGACACCTTGGCGTCGTTGTGGTGAATCTAAGGTATCCTACGGCCCTCACAATACCTGGTCAAGAGGTGAACCGAGGGGGTTTTAGAAGGTATTCCCCCACTGGTGGGGGGTTCTCATGTAACCCCTGAATCTCCCCGGGTTCAAGGGTGTATTCATCACACTTCTGTAGCAGGGTTGTGGCTGGTGCAGGTTTTTTACGCATCAAGGGATGTGGAAGCGGATGCTGATTTTTTTAGTTTAACATCAGCAATGCTGACGTGAATGCTGGCTTCGTGAATCTTTATTTTCTAGAGATTTTTTTCTAGAGATTTAGTGACATTTGTTATAAAAAAATGAACCTCCTTTAAATTTTTCCGGATATTTTTTCCAATATATTTCCATATTTCACGTTGACACCTATACTGAACGAAAACAATAGAGCTTTAAAAAGGTTTTTTTTGGCTGTTGTAAAATCATTTTAAATCTTCGTTTTTCTACAGTTTAATAATTTACGCTAAATAAAACTTCGAAACACATTTCTAAACGTAGAACATAATACGAGCCTTCGAAATGAATTTTTTCCAATTTTTCGTGAATTTTTTCGGAAAATTACCTAACAGCAATAACGTGTAACTATAGGCAACCTGATACTCGTATGAATACATAGAGGCGTCATAAAACGTGTCATTTACAGCCATTGACTTACAATTATATGGACGTCGGGTCCGCGCTAAAAAGTGTCCGCACTTGTAAGGCGCTAAAATCGTATACAGAGCGCCAAACTCCGCTTTAGTCTTCATTTGTTCTACTGACAGCGCGATACTGCGATGACATTACAATTTAAATTTCGAATAGGTTGACTTGGGACATTTTTTTCGTGGTTTTTGTATTAGACCCGTCGTCCATTTATTTGTAAGTCAATGTTTACAGCAGTAAACATTTTAACTTGTATTCAAAAAGTCAGCGGTTCCGAGATCGCGTATTGGATTAAACATCACAATGACATTGTAAAAATACTACACCATAATTTATTCAAATATGTTAGGAATTAATAATGCATTTTATAATTCTACAGTTCCACGAGATGTAATTAAACATTACATTGCTATTTGCTTGTACCCTAAGTTTATGACATATATCTTGAGTCACCTTGGCGTGGTCGCTAAGCAGGTGTGGCCTGTCCATCAGGGCGGGGTCAGCGACGGCCTTCACTCCATGGCCGGCTCGTCCATTGCGTTCTGCGACGCGGTTCTTGTTGAAGTACTGAAAAAATTAGTTTATTAGTTAACTAAATTAATTTTTCAAAAATCTACCCAGGTTGCTGCAAGAGGCCATTGAAATTAAAAAACATCCTAATTTCAACAGGGAAGATGGTTTCTCCGTACCACCAGTTTGGGATCCTGTATTTCCTCTGATGAAAAATCCCAAACAGACGTAAGACTGCAGTAAAATTAATATGTTTTAATTTATTCTAATTTCTATTATTAATAAATTGAACTTAATAAAAATTCGTTCAATAAAATACTTTGTAAGACTTAATATAGCGTAAATTGGAATGTTTTTTTTTGTAAAATTAAAAATAAGGCATTTAATTAATAACTATTGTAACTATAGTGAAAAAAATAAGGTGGTTTGCATTAATATTAGACATAACTGGTTGAAGACTGTACCACCTCAGTCAACCGAGAGCACGGGACCTGTAAAGGGCCCGAAACGTCGGTTTGTTTGAAAAAACAAACATACGCGATTTAAATCCGGAAAAATTTTCAAAATTTAACAGTACGTTTGTCTGTAGTACTTAAAGAGAAATATCTCCGTATATAAATTATGTGCAAGGTTCGATATTTTATTCTTAAACAATTCGTTTTAGACTTTTATTTTATTGGCCTGTTTTCGGGATTTTATATTATCGGGTAAAGTACATCCTATCATGTAACAAATTAGCACATTCTTTAGACAATATCCTTAGGTGTATCATATATTTTTTGTAAGGTCGTTATTGAATAGTAAATACTTAAATCACTTGATCTAGTAAGACAGTTTTTCCTGCTTCTCCGTCGGCGGCTCGCCTTAACAAGTGTTATAAAATTTCACACATACATAATTATTTTGTTCCATGTTAACATGTTTTCGTTCATCGTTAAAAGTAATGATAAATAATAATATTATGTAACAAAAGTATAACACATGTGGTATTTAATTTCTTATCTCTAATCTGTTTTTAATATCTACTCGTTAATGAGAAACGAGTAAATAATAAGTATCATTGTTATTTACTAAGGTAAATCCGTTTCTATGTCCGCTGCAGATACTGTTAAAAATTAATTGCATACCTATATTTATACATTACTAATCTTTATGTTTTTGCAGCCACGTGCGTCATTGACAAATAACTATGCGATAACACGGTAAATAAGAAAGTGATACAAAAAAACAGAGAAGGTATTTTCGACGTTTAAAGCCGTCAGAACTTGTTGTTTCTTTATTTGAACCGGGTAGAACCATAAAAATATGTATAAAACTCATTGACTTACAATTATATGGACGTCGGGTCCGCGCTAAAAAGTGTCCGAACTTATAGGGCGTTAAAATCGTATACAGAGCGTCATTCACGCTTTAGTCTTCGTTTGTTCGACTGACAGCGAAGCAAGCAAAATTAGATAGTACTGCGATGACATTACAATTTAAATTCAACGTTTTAGCTTTTTCATATTCCTTTACATGTCACTACGTTTAAATAGGTTGACTTGGGACATTTTGTTCCTGGTTTTTGTATTAGACCCGTCGTCCATTTATTTGTAAGTCAATGATAAAACTAAATAAAGGTAACTTCTAACGAGAAATCAGGTAAGTTCCGTGGCTTAACTGGCATTGCGTATGGCACGGTTTGTTGGAAGATATTGGTTCGAATTTTGCCGGATCGAAGGAATTTTTATAAGTGTTCGATCTTTGCATTAATAATTATAACAAACGGTGGTGGAGTCATCATGGTCATGTCAGCCGGAAGACGTCCACTGCTGAACATAGGCCTCCCCCAAAGATTTCCAGACCAGCCGATCGGACGCGACGTGCATCCATCGGTTTCCCGCCGCCCTTACCAGGTCATCCGTCCACCTAGTAGCGGGCCGTCCCACTGAACGCCTTCCGGTTCGTGGTCTCCATTCAAGAACCTTTCTGCCCCAACGGCCGTCAGTTCTACGAGCTATGTGCCCTGCCCACTGTCACTTCAACTTGCTAATCCTTTGGGCTATGTCGGTGACTTTCGTTCTTCTACGGGTCTCCTCATTTCCGATTCGATCACGTAGAGAAATACCGAGCGGGAGTGGTAGAGCAATTTCACAAAAATATTTGAATATCATGATGTTCAAACACCGTGACATTTAATAAACTTTCACATTACAATCAGTAGGGCTGGCACGATAGTGCGCGACTAGCGAGGGAGCGACATAAAGTGCGAGATACTTCTATTCTCGCATATAGACCTCGCTCTCGCGCGATTCGCGCCTTATCGTGCTAACTGTACAGGTAAGAGTTAACCAACAAGACGTCTGTGGTAAGTGACACGCCTATCCATAACAGTTGCAGTGTCGCTCAGAGCTTTAAATCGCAAAGATCTCAGTCACCCTGCGACATAAGTTCACAAGTCCTGTGTGTCTGTGATTACTCATATTACTGCGTGGCGGCAGAAAAGGTGAGGCACTACTTTCCTTGTCTTCCCTGGACGAGCTCTTTCACAATGAGCTCTTCTGTTACTAATACAATATAAAAATCACTGTCGGACCTGTTAAATTGTTGATATTGACATTCGGGAAATTAAAAACAAAACAAACTAATAAATGTGTTTACATTTATTTAATTCATTTAGTCAGGTTCGTGAAACAATTTATCTAGATATTCCCCTTTCCAATAGTTTCCTTATAATGGTTTAATTTTATTTCAAAGTCCAAACGCACTAGCGTTATGGGCGCCTCTAGATGGCGTTAATTATATTTTAATTTGGGGTAATTTGTATAGTAATACTTTGTACAATAATAACTCAAATGAAAAACTGTGTTTCCTTAATTGAGTTCGAAAATTGTCTAAGCTCTTATCCGCAGATTGAACAAGAAACTGAGAAATTGACTACTTTGTAAATTCATTTGTGTTATTTATCAAATGTATTATAATATTATATGAGTTCCTTGATTATTCAAACCATAGTTATTGTTTTTCTATTGAACAAAATCCCGATGTAGCCATTAATTTTGGTTTTAACTTCTTGTTTCATTTTATACTGGTAATCATTTTATCTACAAAGTTTGATTTTAATTGTATATCTAGATTATGATAATTTCTTTACCTGTAATTGAGCTTGCTTAATTTGTGTAAAAAAAAATCTATATCTTTCTATCTCTCTTTCTCTCTCTCTCTTGTTATGATTCGGTTTTGAGGTATCACCGTAACAGCAAAATAATAATAAGAAAACTTACCTTTCTAAAGTAATACAAAGCACCGAAAGCAATATATTTTAGGTAATACCATTTTCCAGGCACCGCGTACACGCCTAGAATTTTAGGCGGATCTTGTATTTTCACTACATAAGCAATTGCAAATAATATAAATCCTAAGACTATACTTAGGCACCAAGTCATCGTGGCAACTAGTGGGGACAGACTGGTGATAAATAAAGTGATAAGAATTCATTAAAACCGTGATAAGAAATTGATTAAATATAAACACGTTAATGGTTGTCGTAACCAAAAAGATAAAGGAGGGAATAAAATCAGGGTATCAGAAAAATGTACGTGACATTTAAATTTGCCGTATTTCAGTCTTAAAGGAGTCACTACACTTATTGATGAGGAATCGGTTTGATCTGAAAAAAAAAAAAGACTTTCTGTATTTCGCATCGCCCCGACACGAAAGGGTGGGTACAGATTTGGCGAATGTGCTGCAAATGCACCTGTTTCGAAAGGCTCGCGAGCTGTATACGAGCATTATCTTGTACGATCCGCTCGCGTGCCGTTCGCGCGCCGCCGCTTGCGCGCCACATATATTTTCATGTATTTAATAGCACGTATGCAGCACGCGGACAGCGCGCGCGCAGCGCACATGCAGCGCGTTCGTGGTGTATTCGCCAGATCTATTGGCACCCAATGTCGTTTTCGGTCTTATTTTCTGGCAGATTGAATTCATAAGGATGGCTTCCAATTGATAATCAGAAAGTAACTAGTCTTCTTGATGCTGCGGGTGCGCACCAGCACCAACAGCCTCCTGGTCATAATAGAGGACATAGTTCATGGTCCGCTTAATGATCTGTGAATGAAATGAATAAGGACTATATTCAGCAGTGGGTGTAGTCAGGCTGTATATGATGATGACGACGAATTCACCCTCTAATTGGGGTGCCAAATAAATACAATGTAATGCACGAGGGCATTTGGTAAATCCATAACTTTGAGGATCTCGACCAGATTGAAGATCTTGACCAACCCATCAAAAAAACATTTTTTTGTCAAAGTTAAAAAATACGCCTTTGTTTCAACTATCACTTCGTCATTTGATGTGAATCACTATTTTCTACGCAAGTGATTGTTCATCCCACAGAACAATCTTCCGTGGTTCATCTACACGCTCGACATTTTTATACGCCATCGTATTATATATTTTTAACAGCCTCCGTGGCCGAACGGTTACCATGCTGGTCTGCCACGCAGAGGTCCCGGGTGCGATTCCCGGGCCGGAAGAAATATTTGTATGGCCTACATTTATTTCTCTCGTGAGTTTGGGTGTCATTTGTGGTTGTCTACCTATGTGTGTGTACATGGCACCCACGATACAGGGTTTCCCTAGTGCGGGGCTATGAGAGCGTGAGTTATTTGTTATGTGTTATTTATATTTTCTGAATTTTTATTCATTACACAATGAGTTATAAAATATACAGGTAAGGTACAATAAAACCGTAAATCCTAGAAACTAAAACCAGGATTAAATTATATGAATAAAATTGGGTCCTCGCAGTAAGGCAAGTTGCTGGCAGCGTTCCCCCTTTGTATGGATATGCAACTGCGTTGGGCAAAGTAGCTGCCGGTCCTTGGGTTTCCCAGACAGTCCATTAATTTTTTGGATAAAATTTTGTTATTTGTTTTTGTTTTTTTGTGTGTGTAAGGGTTTTGACTTCAAAGGCTGCAAATAGGTGGTCACATTTATATTTTATTATTTTCTTTCTTTTATTACATTAATTTAATATGTAAGTATTAGTTAATATCACATTATGTTTTACTATTTTTTCAAAAGCCATGTTTTATCTTAAGTCATGCACCACAGAAACGTCCCATCCCTGCAGCGCAAGGTGCCTGCAAATACCTCCATTGATATGTACCTTGGTTGTTTTGGTTAACTCTATATATACTCTCACTTGTGCGGTGTAGGAACGATACGCGTGCATAACTAGATTGAAGGCCAAAGCAAAATAGAAGACTTTCGTGGTTATTCACTAAATGATTATCACTACCAGTGTCGGCTGTACCTAAGGAGGCAAGGTGTGCCGCGCACATGGGCGCAGCGCCTTGGGGAACGACCAACGTCGCTCGCGACGAGGTTTATGTAATATTATCATTTTGAAAGACATAAAATGTGTGTGTGGCAGCACTAGCTTCGCCTTTCTTTTCCCTTCAAACTGTGCCAGGCTAAGTGCTATATTTACAAAAATAAATAATTAATACAGTTAAAACTTATCGTTTTCATATTTAAATATAAATTATATACATAGTAACTTTTACAACCACGTGTTCTGACTCTAGGAATAAATATTTTAGCCAAGCCACCGCAAAGCGGTAAACTAAAAACGATTGACTAAGCGATAAATGAAATTGCTATCTGTCACGTTTCTCAGTCGTTTGAAGACAAGAAAAACTTTTTAATTTTCCATTATTTTCTTTTGATACGATCATAAAAATCTAAGCTGTTGTCCACAGTTACAACGAGATATTGAATATTGTAATTCTTAAACTGTTGAACAATGCAGTTTTCAGGGGACTGCTAGGAAAAGTATGAATGAACGACGATGTTAAGCTGTTTCGTTTGTAGTAGTAGGTATATGTGTAACTACATATTGAAAAAGTAATATACTTTGTCAACTGACTGTTAAGAGTTGTCAGCCAACCAGTGAATAAAACAGTATCAAGTGTAGGAGGTTAGAGTGTATATTGTAATTTTTAGTTTACGTTAAGTCATATAAGTAATAAAATGGGTCCTTTGACACTGCCTTGTGTGTGGGACACTGAATTAAAAAAGTTAGATGAACTCTTTGTTGATGAATTCATACCCACCTAGTACGATTTTTAAGATAGTCTTTAAAAATGCCAAATGTGTGCGTCTGATATTTATGTTCAACGTACAGAACACATCCATCGACTTAGGCCTACCTACCCTAGGACACCATATCAAAAGCATTCGCCAAGTCTAAAGTCTAAAATGCACTTCATTTTATTCTCCTTCTTGTTTGTTAACCAAGTGGTTCACATAGGAATGGTCAGTACCATCATTCAATCTACCTCACTGAAAACCACACTGAGACGGAGGTTTAGACGGTTTAGAATCTAAACATGTTATACTTTACTATTAATTGTCTTTTCCAAGATATTTGAAAAAAAAGGAGGTAATATTGATATAGGTCGATGATTATTATTGCAAATCAGACGTACCAGACGTAAATATTGATACCATAACAGATATCTTCAGTGCACTCGGAAAGATCCCCCCATTCAGACATCGCCAAAGACGTAGGTGATAGAAGGGACGATAACATTCATAACATTTTTGCCCGCCTGTCAAGTAAAGATCCAGAAGAAATAAGAACATTTGGTGAGATGTTAGTAGCAAGGTACCTATTATAGTGAGTCAGAAATTGATAGAATCAATTGTTCTTTAGGTGCGGACCAGTAGAAAGTAATGGCAGTGAAGGTTCTAAAGGTTTATTTAAATTGTCAAACTATTCACTTAAATACGGTTGCTCGAAATTCTCTCCTTTCTCGCTGTCGTTTGTATTACTTGATAGTGATGTATCTTTTATAAGAAATTGTTGGAATGTTTTCATATGCATTTTATCCACGCCATAGAATTGTACTAGTAATCCCTAATTCTAATATTTAAAAATACATTTAGAAAACCATAGTCGAAATATAGCCAATGTTTCAATGCCCTTTCTGACATTTGCCCCCAGTCTACTCTTCTACCTCCTGGCAGTGGTACAGACACATACATTAAAATATAAAATATAGCGAAATTCCCATGCGATTTTGGTAGATTATGAGTTTTAATTGCAATATTAATTACGTTTTATTTTGAAAAACGCATTCTAAGTCGCTGCGGTTTTCTTTGTTTGGACTTCCATATAAAACTTCACTTTTGGATTGGATCACAGTGTTCAACAGTTTATTTTATATTGATTTTTATTATACAGTTTCTACTCTGTAAGTCTTGCCTTTAATGTGATAAAACAAAATGTAAACTTGTATCCTTTATCGGCCAATAATCTGAAGAATGTACAGAAATATGTTGACTATGTCTAGATACAAGTTCAATGCGGCAAAGATGTATTCCTCAGGAGATATGCTGTACTTATGCTTGCCACCCAACATCAGTTGGGTGTCGTAGACAAGATAGAAGGAGAAGAGGAGAGCTCCCAAGCACGCATACACTAGGCTTAGAATCTCGTTTCGCACGAAGTACGCCACGATTCCTGGAAAAGAACGTTTTTAGGTAAACTTTCGATAGATTTGTACCAGACGTTCCCGGAACTGAGGGAACCTGAAAATGAGATCCTTTCATTTTTCTTCACAGGAATCAATAAAAAAAGTGTACTAAAGCTCCGCCTGTGAAGAATGCCTGGTTAAACTACAGGCATTTGGGACTTGTCAACTTATATTTCTGGGTGTTGAGCGCAGGTCGTACCACTCAGATCTTTGGGATTTAAAGCTCTGAGTAGCACTGCCATTGTTATGGGTAGACATAGACACTTACTACCAGGTCGACGACTTTCGTTCGTCCCATCACTAGACATAATAAAAAAATCTGTAACTTAAATAATTGTAAATTGGATTTAAACGTGACTCGACGAGATAGGATACAAGTGTGTCGTGATCACTGAATGATTCCCTGGTACATAATTGTTTATATGTACCATTGTTTAAGCAATTAAATTGAGATTCTGGACTGTACTAAAGGCCATTATCGAGAAGCGATTGTAGAAAGTATAATGCGCCTGATGGGCCTATTATGGCTCTACTACCGTATAAATAGTTAAAGGGTGTCCTTACCAAAAACGAGCAGCGTCATGAGTAAGCAACAAAGCATACCCCCCATCACGGTGAAGTCCCACTTAGTCTGGAAGGCGAACAGCGTCAGTGCTAAGCACAAGGCTGCTGTTATGCCCACAGCCATGAATACCTGTCAATTAAAAAGTTGTAATAGACATTTTTTGAAATGTTTGTAGCCTTCAGTAAATTTGGAACTATTAAAAATATAGATACATTTAAACAGTTGGACCTTTTTGGATTCCCCAGCACTTTTCTGTTGAGACGTATTTAAAATTTATGATGGATATTTTCGTAAGTGAATGGTGATCTCTTCTCAGATAGATCTCCAGGTGAATATGACAAATTCTATACATCTTGAGGGTCATACTTACAGCTTTGACATCATAGGCGCTGGTAGCGACACCAAGAAGAAAACTTTGGGCCAAAGTAAAGGTAAATAGGAAAATGTAGTTCATGGGCACCTGACGTCGCACGTTGGTACAGCACGCCATTGCAATAATTGTGACAAATACCATTGCCAAAGCTACCCAGCTACAAAAAAAAATCAATTCAAAATTACTTATTAATACAAAGATCGAACACAAAGTAACACCAAGGCTGGTAGTTGTAAAGTAACACAACAGGGTGGCGAATACTTTCGTAGATTTCTCATAGATGGCGTTACGACTAAAAAGTCATTGAAAAAAACCAAATACAAAGATTCGACAACAAGGACAGAAAAATTCGTGAAGTCCGCTTGTTCGTTCCGTGGCTTAGTTGGCATAGAAGACATCGGTTCGAATCCGGCCGGATCGAATAATTTTTCTGAGTGTTCGATCTTTGTATCAATAATTACAACAAAGAGGTTCAAACCAGCGTCTTCAGCGCACCGTGCCAACGCTCTCTCAACTGGGGTACGGAAAGAACCATCACACCTTACGAATATGCTATGTGCTTGTTAAATCTTATGGATTTTAATTTAACTGCCTCCGAGGCCGAATGGTGACCTGCTGGTCTGCCACGCAAAGGTCCTGGGTTCGATTCTCGGGTCAGGAGAAATATTTGTATGGCCTGCATTTAATTCTCTCGTGAGTTTGGGTGTAATTTGTGGCCGTCTATGTGTATGTCCATGCCACCCACGATACTGGGTTTCCCGAGTGCGTGAAAAAAAATTGCATTATTTGTTGGTACAAGAACTTATACAGGGTGGAACAGAACGACCGACAAAGCCGAAAACTGTGAAGAGTCTTAAATATGTACTTAATTGTACTGAAAGTCTTTTTGTTCTAAGTGTAATAGTTTCCGAGTTAGTCAATGATAAAGGTTTGCTTCAAAACTCTGTATTGTCAACCCTACATCATAAAACACAGCTGTTTGGAGGCAACTACCGGGAGGTGCTCAGGGCAAAACTTTGCAATTTAAAAGGTCGTTGACCTCGGTCGTTGATCAGCACCCCATCAGTCGCTTTCTTTGCTCAATCACTTTCTTTGAGCAATCATCATGTGAATGATGATTAATTATGCCCCCTAAATTCCGTGTTTGACGACCCAATATTTACATTTACCGAAAAAAAGCACCTCTCATAGAATCTTCGGGAGACATTGTTTCTAAACTATGCGTTGTCATAAACTACCTACAACAACTTATGAAAAGTAAAGTTTTCTAAATGACTCTGTCAGGAGTTTAACTCATATTTCCTGCCTCATAAGATAAGACTAACTTAAATAAACATAACTAAATTAAGTAAACACGTTCTACAACATGCGTCAAGTACTCAAATTACAATAGTCTCCTAAACCTTAATCCGGCCCTAACGTAAAATAGTAAATTGTGGCCAATCACGTCACTTATAACCGCTTAGAGATTTAGAGATGGACACTTGATACCTGTTATCTGTCTTTGATAGCATAATCGAGAGATCGTTTTTTTTTGTACTAGTCTATTTTTCAATGCATATGGAAATAGTTTTAATTTACACTACAAGAATTTACTAACTTTAAAACGAAGAGTTAATTTTAATGAGATCAACATTTAAAACTAAAATTTCTGTTAACTTGAGCCGAGTAGTTGAAATTTTAATAAATGTAATGTAAAAATAAATAAATCAGTTCTTGGAGGTCTGCAGACCACCTCCACGGTTCGTTTTTTATTTTTTATTAAATTTTATTATTTACTACAATTCATTAAACGACTTGCATTTACCTTACTTTTACTTTTAAATTGCTCATGATACTTATACCAGACAAGATGTCAAGATGATTATTGCGAAACCTATTTCTTCATCATAATTGTCTTTTTTTAAATTAACATTTAGATATTTAATAATCAATGATATCCGACGCGTACGCCGCCGCCGCGCGCATCTCTATGCAGAGTTGCCAATTACGCGACTTTGTCCCTTTATGTGACGATTTGATATCAAAAGCGTCTTTTATTTCGAGCGACAAAAAAAATTGGTATTTTTTGGCGCGTATTTAATTAGGTTTAATCGTTTAAAATTTAATATTATTTTTATCGTTGTATTCAGGAGGAGTCTTTTGCCTGTACTGTGACCATTCTGTTTAGTGATATTTGCTTAGTCTAGTTGGCAACACTTTTTTATTCATAAATTAGTTCAAAATGCCTGGTTGTACGGTAACTCGTGGTCTCATGTTTTTCTCGTGTTTACAACACAAAACAACGTTTACGTATTAATTTTTGGATTGTGACAGCAACTTATTGGAATAGTATTTAAGTGAGAGCACTTATTTCTTCTGCGAGTGCCAATGACACGAACGCCGCCTGTGGGGCTTCATCAATTATGTTAGTAGATAATATACTAACATGATTGATTCGCTTAGGGTTGTTGCACCGCGAAAGGTTTAAATCTGGACGAACATTTTTCAACTGCTCTGATTTTACATTTAAAGTAAATAAAAGTCATGTATATGTAGGGTTCTTATCGTGATATTTTCGGTTTTGTCGGTCACCCTGTATATAAAGACCTATAAAAAGAAATTGAAAAAGGTTCTAGTACGTTTCACTTACAATAGCCATGCATTGGCGTATATCCATCGTTTGGTGGGCTCGTGGAAGAGAAACCATGCGATGAAACCCATTGTGATTAACAGTTGTACCATTAGAATGGAGTACACCTGTAAAAGAAACCATAATATTTTAAGCTATTTGGTTTTGCGTAGTTTAGGTCTGTAGTAATGAGCGGTTACATAGCGTAGCGTAATAAAATGAGTAAGGTAACATCATTCATACGCAGCACTTCGCATAATAATGAAAGGCATGTGGAACGACGAGCTCAATGCATCGCGAAGAGCACCGAGAAATTATGCGAATGTGTCCGTCCGTACACGGCACGCACACGTACAAACCGCGCTGCTACGTTTGTATGGATGGAGTTATTATACTGGTCATATTTATCCTATATCCTTAGTCCGGTATTAACTGTAATATTGGAGGAGATATCACTCGGAACTACCGATAACAATTTCAAGTTTTTATTTAATTATTTATTTTCAAAACCTAATCTATTATCATTCTGATGCAATTAACCAGCAAGAAATATTACACGTAATATAAAATGCAAAGCACTATCTTTGTGAATTCACTCAGAGAAGAATGGAATAGATCAATCCTATCCGATATTTCGTTGAGGGCAAGCAATGTGCGCGTTAGCGGACAGTCAGTCAAGAGATTGGTGCCGCCAGCAGTGGTGGCCGGCGACGTCGGCACACGTACCCATCAGGAACACACAAGCTTAATACCCTAGTAGCATCGGATTGTATAGCATACCTAGTGTTGGGTAATTTGTCCCTATCCACTGACCTGAGAGAAAGGGTTTTCTGGAGAGACTACGGGAACGACAGCAAGACCAGGGTACGCCTTTGCGTCACTGGTGGACCCGGACTTGGGCATGGACTCGCTGGGGTTTGTGGTTAGCTGCAGGGACGGACATGTTTGTCTGCCCCGGTTGGGTGTAGCCGGAGTGTCTGTCTCGTGAGCAGCTATCGCGTCTTAGTAGCGGTCTAGTTGAGGGCCTGAAGTGAGGAGACGCGCGGGGCGCGTGAGTTGCCCTTTAAATTGGAAGCTATGTCCGGACATTATCGCAGGACACTGCGACTGGCATCTCCAGCACTAGCCCGGAGAACTAGTACAGGATAAGCTAGATATCCTCCAGTCCCTCCAGCCGCTTAGATTATTGGGAACTGGAAAGACGTCGTTTTTTGGCGTCGGGAAGTGAGCGTGCCCTACAGCTCCGCCACCAATGAGGAGATTTGGCAGTGGACTAAGAGTCGACGGCTTGGCGGTGGTAACCGCTAGTTGTGCAATGCGTAACGGGAAGTGAGTGAGTGTACCTACTACTGTACGTGCACCCGGGGCGGCTCATCCGAGGCACTAGCCTCTCGAAGAACCGGATGAAGTCAAGTGACAGAGGTCTGTGACAACCCTGTTGTGACCTTGTAAGGTTCCTGTGCGCGCACAGGTTATAGTGCAGTTCTCGTATACCCTAAGGGTCGGTAGGGAGGGACTATAATCAAAAATGTAGAAAGATATGGGTCTGTTTGGTCATTTTTCGAAAAATTTCAAATAAGTAGTGTAAATTTTTCCGGAAATATTCCAGAAAAATTGAAAAATATTGGAAAAATGTAATTTGAAGGCTCATATTATGTTCTTCGTTTAGAAATATGTTTTGAAGTTTTATTAAGAGGGAGCAGAGGAAAAATTCCTGATCTTCGATTTGATTTTAGAGGGCTATATCCACTTTAAAGTTAAAAATAAAATATTGTATGAGTAACTACACGATATATTCAAGCATAGACACTAATCAAAAACATAAAACAATAAAGTTTCCTCGATAGATAAAAATCACGAAATCACCTCTAATTTTCACATTTTTTCGATTCATCCTCGAAATGCTACAGGTTATTAGGACAAAAATTAGATAATTAATTATATTTATGCCTGATCGAGAACTGTTGCTACGGATTTTTTTAAATCCCTTTAGTTTTAGAGTTATTCCGGTAAAACGAATTTGGTACTTTTAATGTGCAAAATTCAACATCTCCTGTCGCATGTCACGCGAACTTCAGGCATATGTTTGTCTCACAAATGTGGGCTGAGCCAACGTCAAAACTTTTTTGGCATGCTCCCTCTTAAGCGTGAGTAATAAAATGAAATTGAATGCAACAGCGAAAAAAACCGGTTATATTGGTTCCATCGTTTTCGTTCAGTAACTTTGACTTTTGACAGGTGTTAATGTTAAATGTGGAAAAAATATAGGAAAAATATTCTGAAAAACATGTTTTTTTTTGAAATGGAAAGTTTTCCATGATCCAACATAAAGCATACTTACCTCTAATTACTTTCACTAAGCACTTGTTAACGCTAAGTTCTTGAGCACGTGTAGCACATTGTATCTTACCATACCCAAGATAAAAAGATTAGGATACATCAGGGCATAGAAGGGATAATTTTGTGAAAATACTCGACCTCGAGTATGTTATTATTATTAATACAAAGATCGAACAACACAAGTGAGTGAAGAGACTAATCATCAGTTTCTCACAGTGATTGCCACGCAAAAAACTGTTTAAACCCTATAGAAAGATCTATAATAAGCACATAGCGAAATCTGTACGATCTGCTGATTCAGTCTGTAACTCAGTAACGGTGTGACAACAGATGCTAGTTCAAATCCAGTCATACTGAAGGGATTTTTCTTTGTTTGATCCTTGCATCAATAATAATATCAATTATACGGACTAAAGACGGATTTACATTTGTCTGACGTGTCGTGTCGTGACGTGTCAAAACGGTGTCGGTTTCATACATTTAATATGGTTTGATTTATATTAGTGTGTCGCAATCTGACGTGACGGCTTGTGTTGTGTGACACGTCAGACTGATGTAAATCCGGCTTAAAGCGTAAAAAACCAACAATTTTTAAAAAGATAGTAATTTTTACCGAAAAGTTTAACCTAAACAATAAATAGTAGTGTTACAAATAAGTGTGTAATGTAAACCAGAAAATATGTTAAAATTCTAATGGGCTATCAATAAAAATATAAACACAAAAATGGCTCGAAACTTTGGGGCATTTCATGTAGGTCGCATTTTTATCGCATATCGTTTAGGTTGTGCGTATTTAGTTCATGAGTCATAGTATTCCAGATCTTTCGATATGCCTTTATTTGTTATAATGGAAGCAGACGATAATATTTGAGCAGTAAAACGTATACAACTCTGCGTCCTGATTTTGATTAAAATCGGCATCAGTCCGATCGGGTAGTCTTGAAATCAGATGGGTCTCTGCATTGACCTATTGGTAGGTCAATGGGTCTCTGAGCGAGAAGATGAACCTGATTCCTACTATATCTTTCTAATTTGTGAGTTAAATTAACTATTGTTCCGATTAGAAATGACAACAATTTCCGATCGGCCCGTTGTGAATCGCAATTATGCGCCAGGAGTCGGAAAAGACGCAGTTTCCGATAGGGAAAGGCAATCAAAATCAAAGCTGCTGCTGGTGGTAGTTCAAAGTTGACTAAATTTTATGATTGTTTGTTTAAGCGTTTATAATAAGAATAAAGAGTGTTCTTGCTTACCTTCCTAATGAATCCTTTCCGTATACTTTGATCATCGAAGTCGAAGGTGACGCCTCCATCTTCGCCTTGTGAGTAATCGTTCATGCCTGGTGGAGGTGCGTATCCTTCCTGGAACATCACAATAAAATTTTTCCTTATTTCTTTTTTTCACAACCCAAAGTTTATTTGAAATATATCCTTGCTTAGCTATAAGTCGCTGCGTTCTGCTTTTGTGAATACTTCGACTAGGTAGTCATTGTATTTTTAAGAGCTGGAATGTATTCTACCAGTCGGATCTATCGTTATTAAAATCTATATTCATAATGCAATGGAAAGGCGGCCTCACACGGTCAGAGATATTACAGATTTCCTCAGACGTCTAACGATCACCGACAAATACATACCGGTGCTGCCCATTTCATATTAATAAATCAACTACAGAGCGTGTATGATTATTAATGAATGTTGTATGTCAGGATCGTTGTGAGTACCTAAGCTTTGCCTAGCCGCAGCCTACATCGATGGGAAGATGGCGTGGTAAACCGTAGTTGAAGGCATACACCTCGAGAAGACCGAGTAAAAAATCCTTCATCATTTACAATAAAAATATTCAAAAAATGTAGGTAGATACAATCTGAAAGGGTTGACTGTAGCAATCCCGTAGATTTTGTCACCTAAGTTGATAATTCACTGTCCACCAGGTCGGAGGGGCAGGTAAGGAAATTCCGTTGATGAAGACCACTTATTTCACTTTTATGTCTTTTACTTCAGAACACTAGCTCTTTCTGTCGCTTGACACTTCTAGACGTGTGTCGATCGTGATCGATCGAATCAAAATGATTCGAACAGCACCTGCGACCCGATAACCCGGGTTACTAGATTCTAAGTAACCCGATCATTTTAGAGTTTCATGGGTCATGCGTGCAATATTCAACTTTATTTAACTGCCTCTGTAGCCAAACGGTTACCATGCCGAGGTCCCAGGTTCGATTCCCGGGCCGGGAGAAATATTTGTATGGCCTACATTTATTTCTCTCGTGAGTTTGGATGTAATTTGTGATTGTCTATGTGTGTGTCCATGGCACCCGCGACTCAGGGTTTCCCTAATGCGGGGCTATGTTGAGTGTGTGCATTATTATTATTCGACTTTATCACTATAATTTTAGAGATTACTCAACAATTAACAATATTATTGTTGTCTCGTTGACTCTCACGTGAAGTCCCCACTCACGACACGGTTCGCCTTCTCACTCTTCGTTTGGGTCGAACATTTGTTTGATAGAGCATTCGTTCGATCAACGAGTCAATGGGTTAACGAATCAATCAGTCTATCAATCATTCCTCTTAATTGCTTCGTGCACTAGTTAATATTAAAATATTAATGGATAATAAATAAGTAATTTTGAATGCTCATAATTTTTTTGTTATGTATTTGTGTGTTGTAGGTGTTACTTTTCTTAGAAAGAAATTTTAGTATCCTAAGTGTGGTTTATCAATGATGCATTTAACTTAACACATTACTCATCA